CTTTCATTGCCTCGTCTCCTGCAATCAGCATTCCGTTTGCGTTTGTTGCTGCTGTTGCAGCAAAGGTATACTCAAAAATCGTAGCGACTGGTACAGCAAACAGTGGATTTGCTCTTCATGTATTTGCTCCCTCAGAAATGCGAACTTCGTACTCCTGTCGGGTTAGATGGGCGAGAATGATTTAGTCACCGAGTAGAAGTTGAAATTAATTCAAATAAAAAAGAAAAAGTAAGAACTTCATAGCTTCCATTCTGTCTTTGCTAATTAGGAGGGCTTGTCTTGTAACTTTTCGTGCTGTCTCTTGGTCTACGGCCAACTCCAAAGGACAATGGCTAGGGCGTCCGCTCCCACAAACAGCTGCGTAGTTGTTGGGCATACATCTCCTTAGTCCTCTCTAGCACGAATCAGGAACTAGGGTTTTGATAGTCAAAGATTTATGCTTTTGTGGAGTTTATTTATTTCGGAGGACTGGAAATTAAGGTTATAAGGCATATCGCAGCAAAAAAGCGTACGCCAAACCGCCATTCAAGCCAACATCAAAAGGGAAGGACTTACATAGAGCAGATACTTTAAGGAAGTTACAAAATAGGAGTAGGATGAAAAAGCTCTTACATCGTACGATGGAGTTAATTTCAGGAATAAACTGAAAGTACTGGTATTCGATTATTATACATAATCTGCATAGTCTATATCACAGTAAGGAGGGTGGGGGGGGGTGAAAACAAAGGAGGACTATACAGACAACAGTGTCTTGGGTCCAACTGGGCTACCACCACCTGAGTACATTCTTCCGCATCGCTTAAGACGCTCAGTCTTAATGTGTAACTGACTGCTGCCATGGAGCTTGTAATAAGACCAGATTACGAGTTGAAGGCAGCCCACAAAGAGGGGCACGGAACAGGCCAGAATAAAACTGGCCTCGGGCAGCGTTGACAACAGAAACTGGAGTTTATCATCAGCCTGTCTGGGTAGGCGGGTCACCGAGCCCATTGCTTCATTTTCCGAGACAGAAACAGCAAGGAGAGATCCGGACTCACTGATGAGCTCCTTGCCGGTGAAGGCGGAAAGCATACTATAACCGACTAGGGGCGCAAAGGTCTGACCTGGTCGACCGAGCAGGGAGGTCGCTCCGAACATGAGAGCTGAGAGCGGCTGGGCACGGTCGTTGAGCACAAAGTCCTCATCCACTAGGTCACTGATAATTTGCGAGAGGAGTTTGCAAACGCCTTCAGTAAATATTCTATTGCTAGGATGGAAGTAGAAGAATACGATTAGCAGATTCCATTAAACAGTGAGAAACTTGAGAAGAAGACGACTCGATCGCTGGGACAATACTTTTATTCGCCTGACGTTTCGACATCCGTCGCGGATTCATCATCAGAGATAATAGCAGAAAACGGTAGCAGAAACGGGACTACAGTGAGGAACTTGCCAGTCGTGCATTTGCTTTCCAATATAAGTTATTAAAAACGCGAAGGCAACTTATAGATTCCGTGGAAATTAAACGGCTTCATACTTGCAAATTCAGGCTGTCGCTTTGGAACTTGAACGCTGGCAGATTTAAGTGCATTCCCTACAACATACTGGATCAATTTTTAACCGCAAAATGTAAAAGCTCCCGTAGACATAGGACATCGACTAAACACATTTGGCAAATTAATTTACGAGGGGTATATATATATATTGCTGATAGAAGCGAAAATGCGTGTTCCTGGACATAATTGGGAAGGCTAGGCGATCACAGGAACCAGGGATTCAATGTCCTGACGTTTCGGAATCAGACAAGCTTCAATTGTCAAAGGTGGTAAA